TCTCTCTCTCTCTCTCTCTCTCTCTCTCTCTCTCTCTCTCTCTTCTCTGTCTCTCTGTCTCTCTCTCTCTCTCTCTCTCTCTCTCTCTCTCTCTCTCTCTCTCTCTCTCTCTCTCTCTCTCTCTCTCTCTCTCTCTCTCTCTCTCTCTCTCTCTCTCTCTCTCTCTCTCTCTCTCTCTCTCTCTCTCTCTCTCTCTCTCTCTCTCTCTCTCTCTCTCTCTCTCTCTCTCTCTCTCCCTCTCTCTGATGTTGTAGAGGCTGGGCTGTCGCGCCAGGTATAGGCGCCTATGCCGATCAGACAGTTGAGAGTTGGCTTCGCACGGCGAGTCAAGCGGCGCCGTACGTCCGACTGCAAGGCTCCATGTATCGATTGTCACATTCACTCTGCACCGCTCGGGCAGAGCGTGCGTCGCCGACTGGGCGGACGAAAATCATTATGTCTGAACTAATGAAACAAGCAGGAGCCAGGCAGACTAAGTAATTCATCACGAGAATCGCTGGTATATGATTGCGCGAATCAAAGCTCTTTAGCCGGAAAACACTACCATGATTACTCGTCATACGGCGGTGCGGGTGAAATTTGGGAAGTGATACAAAAACCGATATTAGAAAATATGTTAAATGATTTTCATCGGCGACATTTCAGGCATATACCACTCAATAAATATACATAATGATGATATATATATATAACTCTCATATATCACAGTATTTTTGGGTGTTTAAGAAATCGACTAGTACGTGCAAGCTGACGTTATTTAAACACCGACTTTAGAAAATTACATATATACATAATAACGTGTTGGCGACGTATACATATGTATATATATATATACATAATGATGATATATATATATATTACTCTCATATATCACAGTATTTTTGGGTGTTTAAGAAATCGACTGGTACGTGCAAGCTGACGTTATTTAAACACCGACTGACCCACATCTGACATGTGTGGGGCATGACGTCATCAGGACTACCGCGCGCGTGCGCCGTTACGAATATGGACACCGCCATCATCGCAGACTCGGCATGACAGCGCGGAGTCCGTCACCGATCGACACGGTAATTAGGCGGATTCAATAATTAGCTATGGTTCGTATTAGAATCTTCCGTGTACGGGCACGTGTTTACAGTAGCCTATAGGTGGTACTGCTGATGACGACGATGACTGTGTTATAAGGCGACGCGCTAGGGCTGCAGGTCATAATGATCTATGAATACGCGCATTCTATGACGGCGCTTCGCAATGATTACGTCAATAGAGGTTTGTACGGCAACTCGCGATTATCTAATTCGGATGACATTGTGAATGTCACACCGTATGGCTATCCGAAAAACCCTACCCAAGGCAACGATGGAAATTTTTATCACCCACGAAAAAATGGCGCCATTCCTTCGAAATGTCGATAATGGCAGCACTGTCGCCTCAAGTTCTCTCTAGCGTCACCTCGCGGTCATCGTGACGTAACTATAGGTTCACCCGCTAAAAGAAGCGAAGGTTCTTACGAGGAAGTCAGTGCGCTATGTAACGCGTAAATCTATTGTGAAAATGCAGGTGCCATGGCGGCCTCATGAACTGTCGCATGCGCCAGAGCACTGCCGCTTCTATAGCTAACTATAGCGGTGTCGTGCGAGCAAACGAAAGATCAAACGGCACCGCCAGCGGCAGGCACATCGCGTGGCCGTAACACTATAACTAGGGCGGCGATTCTAACGGCCATGCTCTAAAACATGACGAGATCGCGTTACACTAACCGTAGAAAGCGCTATCTTCGTTGGGTATTATTTTTTTTTAGTATAGTTGAATATTTTGCTTCTCATGCAGCGATAGCAATAGGTAAATTATTGCTCACGAGTACAAGAATAACGTATTATATTACTGTTATACGCTTACACGTACTTGCTAGCAATAATTAAAGTAATACTTGTAAGGGAATTACACTCGTGTATATCAATAATCAAATGGCGTATTTAAAGGTGATAAGGGTTAACTCACGATAGCAGTTGAGGAGCGAACAGACGGAGGGACAATTTAAATAGGACGATTTTAACGAGTGAGAGATATTGAATAACTTTTTTTCTGTGCGTGTGGACTATAAGTATAAGAAGTAGTTTTGCGATTATTTCGCGCATACACACACGCGCGCGCCCGCCCGTATATATATATATATATATATATATATATACATATATATATGCCCGTGAGCGTAACAAATGCGTGATGTACACCTATTAAGACCATGTACTGGCCCGAAGTGTCGAAATTTAATTAGTTCTCGCCGAATCTTAAGTGTACCACACCAGGAGTTACGACGGACAACTACTCTGGCGTTGCTAATGTTTTCTAGATCATCGGACTCATATGGGATTGAAATCAGACAACAAATCGCATCGAATGTTAGAATACTGATAAGATGGAATATAGCAATAGAATGAGAAACCCCGGGACTAACAAACTGTTATACGGTTGAACTTGTAGTGGGTTAATTTTTATGGGGTCGGAGCAGAAGACCACCGTGGATCTCACACACTGTGCCAACAGCTATACCTCGCTGTGACGGTGTGTCACGCTCTGCCCACGGTTACTGACCGTTGACATGGACACTGGGTAACTATGCTAAGTTAACTCAACTGAGTAACATCCCGGTGTGATTCACGCAAGAGCGCATTTATTCAGCGTGCAAACACTGTTATTGGAACGGAACGCAAACACGGACCGCGACTGCGCATGCGCGTGTTAAACTCAGTTGAAATCCCGAAATTGTTTGTAATCTTTAAAACTCATCAAACCGTTTATTATCTTTTCAAAACTAGCTTGCCACGAATCTTATAAAATAATGTCGAATTAGCGAGGCAGGCAAGCAGGCATAGGCATGCAGCCATTACAATTTCGACGAAGAAGTCTATTCCAGATCCAGTTTAATTCTTACTCCCTTAACGACAATCGTTTACCTAGATGCGTGTTTCGTGTAGCGCCGTAAAAGTTACGCAACGTTAAACATTTGATTAACTCGGTTTTATGACACAACCCTATAACAACCGACTGTCACGTTTTCTGACATAAACAGATAAAATGTATGCCATTCCGATTTATATTACATTCCATCGCCTTAAAGCGTTATATCACTGTGGGTAAACACTTTATATACATTCCTCTGCCTCATTTGCTCCAAGCTGTTCGCAGCTCTCCATTCTGACATCGTAAAATCCACGCAAAATCAGCTGACCGGCTCCAATATTCGTCCACTAAATACATGTATCGCCATCTGGCGATAACAACGCCACACTCATGGGTATGCACACTCTGGTGTCTTCCTGTGGCAAGGACGAGAGCATTGTTGAGTTTCGTGTTCTCGGCAAATGCCCACCAACCTCTATGCTTACTAAACCTCAAACAATTGAGTGTCAAACATCGTGATGTGGTACAAATATGGCTGTCGCAGTACCGATATGAACGTAAACGTGCCATCTGCCGGCGCAATCTCGTTATACAGCTGTCGCAGTACCTGTATTTCTGACGTAGAATAAACATTGCTGATGCAGTACTAAAATTGCCGACGCAGCACAAACGTTTCAAACGCAGTACTTATACGCCCGACGCAGTACTAAATGTGCCGAGGGGAAATGCCGACGTCTCCGACGCAATATTAACGTTTCCGACGCGGTATCGACTTCTCTGACGCAATATCAACATGGCCGACACGCACTATCACAGTTCAGGATTCCGAGGCGCGCTGGCACGCCCTCGCTGCGTCGGCGGCGACAGCCGCTGCTATCGACCTTTCCCCTTCCTCGGCCTCGTACGGCGAGATGTCGTCGGGTAATGCCGGCAATCTCTCGACCTCCCGCGTGCGGTGCATGTGCCGACCCCCCGCTCCCGCCTCCTCTCTCTCGCCGTCCCGACACCGCCGTGCCAGCTGCGTATCCGACTGGGCCTGGTGGCGCCACTCAACGGCGAGGTGGGGCGACGCGGCGCGGTCGTGGTAGGCATGCGCGTAGCAGTAGCTGTGGAAGCCAGGCATGTACTCGGTCTGGTTGCCGAACGTCGGGTACGTCGGCGAGTAGTCGCTGATATCGTCCAGCCGACGCTCATCGTCATCGCCATCGTCCTCGCCCTGCTGCGCGTAGTTCTTGCTCACGGTGAAGTTCATCCCGGAGTCGGCATCGTCATCGTCGTCGGTCGCCATCGTTGCGTCAACATCGTCCGTAATCGTCAACTCGAAGTTGTCGGCGCGGAGGGACACGTCAGCGTCATTATCTGCGTCTGCCTCGTCGCACAGCGTCGCCGCGTCATCGCCGAATGAGCTCTGGAACGTCATCTGGCCAGTGACGCTGGTCAGTGTGTCATCCCTGGCAACGATACCACGTGACCGCGCGGCGTTCACATCATCGGAGCGGACATCCGGCTCGTCGACATTCCTGAAATAATAACAATAATAATAATAATAATAATAATAATATTAATAATAATAATCGGGTTATGGCAATTATATTGCTTATTGTGCAGCGTTGTTTTCGTCTCGTCCCATCGCTGCTACTCATCTTTACTTATTGCGTTGTTTTTTTTATCTGCGCGAATCGCTGATATCCTAGCAGTATTACTGCGAGACAAAGAACGCACTATTGGTTAAACAATTAAAGCTCGAAGTGAGAATCGTGTCGATACGTGAGGCTCAGTCCACGCGTAGATCGTAGTGGCCGAAGACGTGCGAAGATGCGCTGTGTATCATTAGCTCATGCAGGTCTCGCTGTATGGTGCGTGCGTGCGTACTATTTAGAAGGATCGCCACGCAGCCTGATGTTGCCGTGTTTTTGTCGACGGTAATTGATTCGCCCCAGACATACAAAAGGAAATAAGTCGGTATTATGAGCGCGCATGTGCGCGTGCACGCGCGTCAGTGTGTGCGCGCGGGCGTGTGTGCGTGCGAACGTCAGTGAGTGGGTGTACCGTACCCACGTATATTATTTTGACGATCCGTCTAACGCAGCGAAATATGGACGGGATGGGCTTCGATTACGTAATTTTTATTTCAATTGATGCCCAATTAAATATTTTTCTGCAGTTCATCGAGAGCCTATATATATATATATATATTGTAGTCGCTGGATAATTTTTGCTGCCAGACAACTGTGCGCTATAGCTTTGTGCTATGTGCGCCGTGAAATGGATGCACAATTGTAGTGTAATTGTGTGTAAAAACAGGAATAAAATTAGAATAGAGGGATGTAGTTCACAACTGCCGCTTCACCGTATATTATTTACTCACTAAAAGAACGTACAATCACACAGTGTAAAATAAGGTTGCGCACTACACAGTTAATTTAGCAACAGACGAGGGTGAGAACGAGAGCCCCGTGTCTCTCGTGCGGGCTCTTTTATACCCCCGATTGCAAGATGAGTCGCGATACCACTACCAAATATGCTTCTCCCAGTCCCTGGTGGCTACAAGGAAGTCCCCTTATTAGCGCCTATGGACAGTTCTAATGTGATGACGGAATGAAAGGCCATTGGCGAGTCGGGGTTGGAGATGTGCTGCGCCCCCTCGGCAAGTTAAGAATAGAGGCGATATAGATAGCCGTAGATGTGTAATGTGTGTGGTGTTGTTCAGCGTGAAAACTAACGGTGTGCGGTTGCACCCCGGTTGGCTATTAGTAGCGGTGTATGTGTCCAGCAGTCCAGAGATAGATCGTTGCTTCTAGCCCGCTGTTATGGTGTAAAATTAGCATGTGTCTGAGCTGGTACTAAAGCTGAGAGGGTCTATGTCCCCCGGGGTACTGCCGGAACGTACCCTGGTACTATCTAATATGCCGAACCGTACCTCGTCTACTCCACTAACGAGTCTAGGGAGTTGCCTACGCCTACTCCCTAACCCGAACCCTAACCCTAACCCTAATCCTAACCCTAACCCTAACCCTAATCCTAACCCTAACCCTAACCCTAACCCTAATCCTAACCCTAACCATATCAAATAGTGACCAGGGTACGTTCCGGTATACCGGACCGTACCCAGGGTACGTTCCGGCAGTATCCTGGGGGACATAGACCCTATGAGCGGTACTAAATGCTGTCGCGGAATGACATCAGCGTTGCTACATTTTCCTCTACGCCGGGGAATGACCCATCGTCACTGCAGCTCTGGTAACGGAAGAAGAGCAACGGTAATGTCATTTGCCGAAATGGTAGAATATCCTATTACTTTAGTCAAGTTTGATGTGAATTTAGAAATGTGATTAATGAAGAGGTAGCATAGGTAGGTAGAAGATTAGTTGGTAGGTAGGTATAGCCGTTAGCAGTGATTACCGGAAGGCAGGAAATGCATTAGGATTTAGAACAGCAAAATTTGTAAACAAGATGACAATCAAAATGCGAAAAGTAAGGAAGCATAATAATGAAGTGCAGTAATAACAATAGCATGCAAAGCAGAATTACAGGAAAACTTAGCGCGAAATGTAGCGGCTTGCAAAACAAAATTGAAGCGCACGTGAAAGCAAAATTTATGGCAACAGCAATAAAAATTTCAAACGTATAAGCAGTAACTTAAACTGTTATGAATAATGTATAACGTATACGTAATAAATACGGATTAAAGGACGAGAAAATACGGCAGTGCAAACACAATACATAGACATAGGAAATAAATAGGCAATACATAGGTAATAAATAGGTAATAAATAGGCACTAGATAAGTAAACAAATAGGCAAAAGCAGGAAGTCATGATTCTGGGCGCTGATACGTGTTTATGGAAAGAAGGGCTGGGAAAGAGTAGGTAGAAGAGTAGAAGAAAAAAGAAACGCAGTGCCGAAAGGGAAAGTAACGAAGAAGAATTTGTAATAAAAGAGTAATGGAAGGAGAAAGAAGAGAGTAGAATAGTAGTTCGGATTAAAGTGATGTTGAGGCCGACGGCGTTGATGACGAGCCGACTGGTCGGGGACGAATCAGGTCGTCCTGTCGTCCTGGTGTCCTGGTGTCTTGGCGTCCTGGTGGCTGCTGGCGGCTCTATTGCTCCTCGAAAGCGACTCCCGGAAATGGCGCCTCCTCCACAGGCACCCTCGGCGTGACCGTGGTGTCCTTGAGGTGGACCACAGTGGACCCGGGATTATGCTTCCGGAATTTAAGGCAATCCTGCAGGAAACAACTCCAGCTGCTGTAGCAGAGCTGTTCCGCTGTGCCGCCATAAATTAGGCGAGGCGTTGGGGATGGGGGCCGGCCGGTGAGGTAGCGGACGCTGCCTCCCTCCTTCCTCTAGCTGCCCCCGTTGGTGGGTGTCTTCCTGCGGGCCAGCGGGGAGGATGGTGGCTGCGTTGGTTCCATCCATGTGATGCTGGGTCGTCTGGCACGGTGTGGTGGCTGTCTGGTGTGTACTGCTGGTAGTTACTGGTAGCCTGTGAAGATGTCTGTGGCCGTTTTACGGAGTGGGTAGCATAATGAAGGGGAGAGAAAGAACGGGTTACTACAATAAAGTATGAAGCGTGCAAAGCGGATGCGAAAATAAATCCCGTGAAAACTAACGGTGTGCGGTTGCACCCCGGTTGGCTATTAGTAGCGGTGTATGTGTCCAGCAGTCCAGAGATAGATCGTTGCTTCTAGCCCGTTGGATGGATGGATGGATGGATGGATGGATGGATGGATGGATGGATGGATGGATGGATGGATGGATGGATGGATGGATGGATGGATGGATGGATGGCTGGATGATGGATGGATGAAGGGATAGATTAATGGATCGATTGATGGGTGGATGGGTGCATGCGGGCATGCGTGCGCGTTTGTGTGTGCGAAAGAAAGAGAAGGCACAAACAGTACAGAGCTTTAATAAAGGCAAAGAAAAAGAGCGGGAGCGCGGGAAGAGTCAATGAAACGGGTAATGTGCGCGACAGAGAACACACAGTACGAGAGAGGTACAGTGATGGAGAGATTGAGAGGAAAAGAAGATATGAGGTCTTGATTCGTACCCAGAAAGGCGTGCTCACACAATTACTGAAAACCCCACATAATTACTCGCAATGTAATCACAAATCAACAAATCCCAAAGGCATACGCAAAGGCGTAAGCGCAATCACGTTCAAGAGCAACATCTATGAAAGATAGAGCGATGGAAAGAGCGCGAGTGAGCGAGAACAAGTGGGGAAGAACGCGAGATATAAAGAAGAAGAAGAGAGAGAGCACGCACATGATTGTGTGTGTGTGTGTGCTGCGTTCGTGTTCTACCTGCTTTTGCACTCGGTGCGCCCTGCGGTCGATTGGTTTCCTCCAACCTTCTTCTGTGGGGACTGCTCGATAGATGGCAATCTGTCACAGTTATCTGAGGGTTTGGCATACTCTCTGAAATTGCAACCAAACGTAGATTTATTCACAAAATACTTGCGCCATTCGTTAAAATACGTGCGTTAAAAACCTAGATTCAGCGTAACGGCGTATATCACAGGGAAACTAACAGTCGAAAATATTCAACACAATACACGATCTGATATATGTGAAGGAAACTACCCTGCTATAACGCTAGAAGGAAACCGTAGGAACCGTAGGAATTCGGCTTTTCAGACTGAGGTTTAGATAGAAGACTGCGCTTTCGTGTTCAGTCGACATTAAACCGTCATCCCGTACGACAGCTGTATGAGAGCAAGACTTTCACACGCACATTTCCGTTTTCATCTCGACTTAAAGGCATACTAGGCCCATTGATTATGCAATGTTGACGAATGCTAGAGTAACTGGCACCTTGTGTAGTTAATAATTACATAACCTTACATCCAAAAGCGTATTAGTTTGTCCAATATCACTGCTGGTTGCTAATAAATGTCTAATTGAAATCCGCAGTCCAAGAAATTAGTTGTTTACAGTTTCAAACCGCTGCCGGCGAAGCGGGTGTGATGCAGATTTATAGTGCACCGGACATTTTCGCACGCATGCTCGGCCGTACGCAATGCTATCATCAGTGATTTCGTAAACACGGACGCTCGTGATAAGGAACTTTTTGTCAGGGCTGTCCATGTGCGTCCGTGATTAGTACTTGTGTTTTACACCATTTCCATGTTTAGTCCGTGGCCGTGGTTACACCGCTGACACCTCCATTTCATCTGCATGGCGTCCAAAACATACAGGCCGCACAAATGTTTACGTCATCGATTGACTCCTGGATGACATTTACGGCACGAATATCAACAATCGATTTCAAGTCTTGCTTGTAATGTAACCAGCAGTGATATTGGACAAACTAATACGCGTTTGGCTATAAGGTTATGTACTTATTAACTACACAAGGTGCGAGTTACTCTAGCATTTGTCAACATTGCATAATCAATGGGCCTAGTATGCATTTAAAGTAGCACGTGAAAAAACGCAAGTTTCATGAGATCCAGTTATACAGCGTCTGATTTCATTATCCACCTTGTATTATGTTGCTCGTGAGCCGCACTCCCATTTCTTTTCCGTGTTAACTCCCCTAGTGCTTTTAAATCCCTTTGACTGCTATATAACTCGTCTGCACGTTCTTTCTTTCCCGTTCCTTATCTCCCTTTCATTCTCCGATCGCTCGTTCACACACGCTGTTTCTCTTTCTCTCTCTTTCTCTCTCGTGCGCACTCTTTCGTTATCATTCTCTCTTTCTCTCTCTCTCTCTCTCTCTCTCTCTCTCTCTCTCTCTCTCTCTCCTCTCTCTCTCTCTCTCTCTCTCTATATATATATATATATATATATTACTGCCTTCCCGCCTCCGTCGTTCACATTCGTATACTTTTCTCAGTCGCATGTGTGATCTATGACAAATTCGTTTAACCTCCGCCACATATCGCGGTATCATATCGCAGCAGCATCACCTCCGCACGCCGCCACGTCGCCACGCGTGCAAGCCGATACGCGATGTCTCATTAACGGGGCGATCCGCGGTGCCGCCACCGCGTGAAGCCGGAGATTGCGATTCTGTCGCGTCGGTAAATGTATCTTGTCTGCTGACTCGCGGCCCGTTGTGTTGCGGATGCGTCAGTATACAGACTGACGCAACAGCTTCAACTTTTGTTGCGGTGCACAGACAGTGTGTACGGGGTGTCGGGTCGAGACGCCTGACGCAGCACCGTTACCACCGTTTACCCTCACACCAAAAGGGTGAATGAAGGGTGGTAGCTTTATAATGGGGTCGGTATTTGTCGGTATATATTAAAAGTTGAAGCTGAAGGGATATAGTAGGGTGTGGTAGCTGTAGCTTTGAGTGGGGTGAAGTGGGGTAAGTGTGGTAGGTGTGTGGCGGGGTGTGGTATAGGTGTAACTTGGGGTGGGGTGAGGTGGGGTAGGTGTGGTGAGTGTGTGGCGGGGTGTGGTAAGTGTGTAGCGGGGTGTGGTAGGTGTGTGGCGGGATGTGGTAGGTGTAGCTTGGGGTGGGGTGAGGTGGGGTGGTAGGTGTGTGACAGGGTGTGGTAGGTGTGTGGCGGGGTGTGGTAGGTGTAGCTTGGTACGCGCGCGCGCATACATCCATTCTCCTTGTCACTCACACACTCTGCTGCTCTCGCTTTCGCCCCTCCCTCTGTCATTTTCACGTGCTTACCCACCTGCCTGAGTCCTCCACGGACTTTAAACTGTTGGCAGAGTCTGGGCTGGCCAGCGGCGCCGTGGCTGCGGCAGCGGCGCCAGAGTTCATCTTTACGTCGCCGTTTGCCTGCGTCGACTCATCACTGCTCGGCTCGGACACGACTACGACCACGGCGCTCCTGTCACAAGCAAATTCCCGCCATTATATGCGTGCATTGCGTTCGGGGGCATCGCATCATGCCAGTAACATATCTGATTAGTTAGTTAATAGAGGCAGGGCGGGAAGCAGGGGCGGTGCGGAATGTCACGCAATCGTGACGTCATCCTATTACATCTCATCGCTTCTTTCGCGTGCAGCAGATGTAAATTCTGGAACGAGGACCCGTGATAATTAGTTAAGAGAAGGAGGCCAGCGGTGTTTAGATTCTTTATTGTTCGCTCGTCTAATGCGAATTTCGCCCAAGCAGGTTTAGCGCGTGTGCATGTGATATTTCCCATTGCGTTTAGTGAGACGGCGCCACTTGTCCTGTTTTCGCGCCACCTGGTCTATTTGCGCGTCACTTGTTCTGTTTGGCACGCCACCTGTCATTCGCCGCCTACCAACATGCAAATACTTGACGTTGTTTATTTCAAATATCGTTTCCATGACGTCAGTGATTTAGTTAAATTTTAATTGTTATGTGACGTGAAAAGCGCTTGTTAATTATAATCAGTCAACGGCTTGTAGAAAAGTAAACACTTTACGACTATGTGACACTGTTCAATGAAGCAGGAGCTGAATAGATGCACGCTACTAACAGGAACACTGGCACGTGAACATGTACGAACGAGCCGAACAGCGCGTGAACGAGGTTTAAAATGCCATTTTAATCTTATATTAAATATGACGGATGACGCGAAATAGGATTAGCACGGACGCACTACAAGCGGCAGTTAAACATCGTGAGTGGCTGGCGAAGAGGAATAGAGACGGGAGATTTGGGCGAGTCTCGGTGCCGATGTATGGCTCTCGTATACGCTGTCCCCGACAACCTTCGCTAATCAATGCAAATCGGCGCTACTGACAAATCCATCCAATAAAAAATGTGACGCAGTCTCAACTTTAAATGTTCGAGCTCGAGCTTAAATTCGCGGCCGTATAACATGTGTTTTGCATAAGTGCGTACGTGCGTGTGTGCGCGCGCGCGTGTGTGTGGGGGGGGGGGGCGTCGCCAGTCAGCCAGCGCTCTTTCATGGGCTACTGACAGGACATAGAGCACTGCAGAACCGTAGTTAGCATTTGTGTGAATATCGTCACCTCGTGCTTTACTATGTTTCATAGACCGTAGATAGCAATTTCACACACAAAGCCATCCGAATTTAGTTTGCACAACAGAACCTTTACATTGTTCACATGTAGGACGCGATGTCAACAATTATGAAACAATCGTCATACATTTGTAGGCATGCGTGGCCACTGGGAAATGACCACAGAAACCGCAAAATATAGTGAGTGACGGACTCAGTTATTGAACATAACATGTTCAAACAAGAGCAGGTATCCCCGCATAGATTTATATGATAACATCCCATCCGTAGACCTCACTTAAGAAATAGAACGAATACCTTGCATGTAAGGTGTCCGCTGCATATGCCAATCAGTACACAATCTGGCTACGTTAGAGTGCATGCGCAATATCTCACCACAGGACCTATATTTTCTGATGAACATGCATTTATTATGGTTATAGGGTATCTCAGCATAGATTTCTAAAATATATTTTTATATGTAGACCTGTGTTTATAATTAGGAAAGCGCCCTAGCCTGCAGGGTGCAAAACTCTTACTTCATCCCCTCCCGTTTTTTCACTGCCTTTCTTGCCCCTCGATTAGACTCCTTAATCTTCTACCGCCCTCAGCTATCTTCCCTGCCGTCTGTCCTCAGTCTCCCACCCTTCTATCACTCAACCAACTATCTTATGCAGTTTGCTTCAGTCCGTTCTGAGCGCCTGAAACGGTGCTCGCGCATGCGCAATATCATGAGAAGAAGAATATTTTGCAAAAATTATGCATTTAAAATGAAGAGCAGGTATCCCAGCATAGATTTATATGATAACATACCACGCGTAGACCTCACTTAAGAAATAGAACGAATACCTTGCATGTACGGTGTCCGCTGCATATGCCAATCAGTACACAATCTGGTAACGTTAGAGTGTTAGTGCATGCGCAATATCTCACCACAGGAGCTATATTTTCTGATAAATATGCATTTATTATGGTTAGGGGGTATCTCAGCATAGCTTTCTGAAATATATTTTTATATGTAGACCTGTGTTTATAAATAAGAGAGCGCCCGAGCCTGCAGTGTGCAAAACTCTTACTTCATCCCCTTCCGTTTTCCCACTGCCCTTCTCTAGAGAGGAGAGAGAGAGAGATTCGCTTGACTTTCATGTATCGTATATAAAGTTCATTGCCTTGCTCGTGAAACATGCATGCCAAAACATCCCTCTTATACCGAAAGAAGCTAGAGGAACTTGATGGTTATTTGATCTCCATGTACCCGTATGTATAGAGACTAGTGGCTACATCCCTGAGTGGTGGATGGTTTCTTCACCACGTCCCAGGAGACGATAACTCTATAACGCACAATCTATGGCTCTAGAGGGGCGGAACCGGCGCACATAACGTTATTTGCACGCGACGCCTGCACACTGACGCGTGCAAATCCATCATCTGTCCACCTTGCATCATTTCCTCTTATCCTACTCTTTACCTCCCACTCACTTTCTATCTCTCTTTCTCTCGCTGTCTGTCTCTCTGTCTGTCTCTCTGACTCTCTTGCGTGTTCATTCTCTCGCGCGCGCTCTCTTCTACCTTCTCTCGCTGTACGTATGCGTGCGCGCGTGTTTCTCTCTCGCACTTCACACACTTTCTCTCCCTATTTCTCTCTACCTCTCCCTTTCACTCTCTCACTCTTTCGCTTTCTCTCGCGCGCACAAACACCCTCTCCCTATTTCGCCCCACAACTCTCTCTCTCTATCTTTCGCCTTTTCACTCTTTCTTTCTCTCTCCCACCCTCAGTCTCTCCCTCTTTCGCCCTTTTCCCTACCCCTCTTGCACCGCAATATAAGCATTGTCGGGGGCGGTCGGGTAGTAGCGTCAAGAGTTTTCCGTACGCTGATGACGTCAACAATGACGCAGATATCACCGCAGGTTACACACAGCCCGCCGTACGTACGTACCACTGCCACGGCCACGCGTCAGAGAAACAAGGGTTGACGTGCGGTTACGCTGACGTCACCGTCAAGCTGACTCCAAGACGTCAGTCCACGTCATGCATTACTCTATGCGGCATTACTACCCGTGCGTGCGTGTGTGAGTGTATGTGCGTGCGCACGCGCGCGCGCAGCACTTATACTACTATACGGGACCCCGTTTCTATGGATACGAGTGGGCAGTGCGTGTGCGGACCGTTACTAATTTTGCGCTCACTGTTATTGAGTTTTGGCGAGGGTAATTGGCACGGTCGCCTGTTAGCTGGACGGGGCTTTGGTTGGGCGTGTATATTGGGCACATATGTTACTATGTGTATCGATCAGGAGTAGATAATAGGAAATTCCCTATTATCTGCTCCTGGTATCGATGAATATGTGGGTGGTGTGTGTGTGTGCGTGGCGCGCGAATACGGGCAAGTATTTGAAAGTGAGTACGTACGTATGTCAGCGTGTGTATGAGTAGGTATGTTTGTATATATGTATACGTGCGTGCGCGGATGTGCGGAGAGCGATCAAATGCGAGCGTGTACTTGCGCGTGTGCGTGCGTTCATGTGTGGGCGAGATGAGAACAACTGATGCAGAGAAAGACAGGCAATAGAGAGAGAGAGAGAGAGAGAGAGAGAGAGAGAGTGAGTGAGTAAATGAGTGAGTCGATGAGTGAGTGAGTGAAGGAGGGAGGTAGTGTGTGTGCCCGTTGTACTAAGCCGTGATGTAATTTACTTGTGTTCTAGGCTCTTGCTGTACTCGTCGTGACAGGCGTTTCAAATCCTTCCGGGGCACCTGTGTTGTGTTGGAAAGCGAGCTTCGGCCAGGGACGCGAATCTGTTACAGTCCTGACACGGATAACCTGATTTTCATAGATATGCGTTCCTACGGTCGAACTAAAAGCGATTTCAATTTATAGCGGAAGAGGCGTCTAGAAATCGGGGAGTCATGATTAACAATGGAACAGCAGTCTAGAGCGTCGATATAGACGATTATAGACGTAGATAGTAATAATATATTAATTATTATATACGTCCATGGGGTAACGATAACGACGATAAACAGACATAATTGCGTTGGCAGTCGCCCCCAATATACTAGCTAGATTAATTTGTAGTATCGTTTATTTACAAGCGGCGAATGTTTTCATCTCGCCCTCTACGTAGCTGATTCATCTCGGGCCTGATCTCGCGAGACTTGGCGTGAGAGTGGCTGCGATAGCTCTCACTCGTGTTCACATGCGTTCGCTAGATTCTTTTGTAATCACGCAGCGTTGATCAGAACCGATATTTTTTCTAAAAGCAGCTGTGATATTTTTTGCGTTTGCTTTGATGTCTTTACACCGAAGCATAAGCTTTTAAGCAAATCGAAGACCCCGCGGTGCTACCTGAAAAGAAACTATGGAATGAAGCGTATAATGCAGCTATATGCATGTCAATGCAAGCTTATTAATGCAGCTTCCTGTCCCAGGCTTCTCTACGTAAATAGCTCTCACAGTGATTCGTAAATGTTATTAGCGGAATAGAGAGTAGAGAAGAAGCTACATGTAATGCTTGCAGACACGTACAGGTAGGTGAATGGGATGTAGGGAAATCTATGCGGAGATACCCCCTAATCATTTTAAATGCATATTCATCACAAAATATAACTCCTCTAGTGAGATATTGCGCATGCGCTAACAAACTAATGTAGCCAGATTGTGTACTGGCTGGTATACTCAACGGGGACCTTACATTCCAGGTCTTCCTCTTATTTCTTAAATAATGTCTACTGATGAAATATTATCATATAAACCTATGCTAGGATACCTCCTCTTCATTTTAAATGCATAATCTTTGCAAAATACGATTTTTCTCGGGAGATATTGCGCATGCGCGCGCATCGTGTTAGGCGTGCAGTGCCGTCTGAGGCAAACTTCATAATATGGCTTGCTGAGAGGGAATGGGGATGGCAGACTGAGGAAAGGCGGCAGCGAAGATAGCTGGGGGCGGTAGAAGAAGAAGGAGGCTGTACGACGGACAGGGCAGGCAAGGAGAACGGGCAGGCAAGGAGAAAGACGCGAGGGCATAAAGTAGGTGTTTTGTACTCTACATGCTAGGGCGCTCTCCTATTTATAAACAGAGGTCTACTGATAAATGTTTATTAGGGAAATCTATGCTGAGATACCCCCTAACTATTTTAAACGTCCATATTCATCACAAAATATAACTCCTCTGGTAAGATATTGCGCATGCGCTAACACACTAACGTAGCCAGATTATGTAATGGCTGGTATGCGCAGCGGGGACCTTACATGCAAGGTGTTTCTCGTATTTCTTAAATGATGTCTACTGTTGAAATGTTATCATATAAACCTATGCTAGGATACCTCTTCTTCATTTTAAATGCATAATCTTTGCAAAATTCGATTTCTCTCGGGAGATATTGCGCAGGCGCGCGCACCGTGTTAGGCGTGCAGTGCCGTCTGAGGAAAACTTCATAATATAGCTTGCTGATGGGGAATGGGGATGGCAGAATGAGGAAAGGCGGCAGCGAAGATAGCTGGGGGCGGTAGAAGAAGGAGGCTGAGCGAGGGACAGGGGAGGCAAGGGGAAGGGCGCTCTCCTAATTATAAACAGAAGTCTACTGATAAAAGTTTATTAGGGAAATCTATGCGGAGATAGCCCCTAACCATTTTAAATGTATATTCATCACAAAATATAACTCCTCTGGTGAGATATTGCACATGCGCTAACACACTAACGTAGCCAGATTGTGTACTGGCTGACATACGCAGCGCTGGCGACAGATATCCACATAATGTGGTAACATCAAGAGCTCATAATAGAGAGATAGATTCTATTATGAGCTCTTGATAACATCCAAGTTTTAGGCCATCTCGTCCCCCGGCGGTGGCCTCCAGCCCCCGTCAGCTCACCCCGACAATAACCCTTCCGCGACCGAAAATAGTTCTTTTTGTTTACGTATTTTAGTAATGCTGAAACAAGTTACCATGGTATATGCCGATTGTATTACCCATAGCCATAGATATAACATTAAATAGGAAAAAAACAAGACAAGCGCCAGTGCAGCGCTCGGTAAGTTATTAGTAGCACGTTATAGCGTTGCCGGCGTTATATTTGTTTGACGGGGGCCTAAGGCCACCTATATAGAATTGTAATAATAATGTATGCTGGGGGCCCAAGGCCACATATATAGTATTTGTATGACGGGGGCCTACGGCCACCTATAGAGTATTGTAATAATAAAATAGTGTATGATGGGGCCCAAGGCCACATATATAGTATTTGTATAACGGGGGCCTAAGGCCACCTATATAGAATTGTAATAATAGTGTATGATGGGGGCCCAAATCCACATATATAGTATTTGTATGGCGGGGGCCTAAGGCCATCTATATAGTATTCTAATAACAGAATAGTTTATGATGGGGGCCCAAGGCCACATATATAGTATTGTATATGACGGTGGCCTAATGCCATCTATATAGTATTGTAGTATAGTGTATGCTGGCGGCCCACCAAGGCCACATATATAGTATTGTGTATGAAGGGGGTCTAAGGCCTTCTATATAGTAGTGTGTGGTAAGCCTTGGTTGTAAGCTATACCGCCTCCAGCAAAGAAAAGTAGGCTGAATCACTTGCACAGTGTATTATTGCGCCAGCGGTGCCCTAGGCCCCCGGTGGCTCTGTGCTTACCGCGGTGTGTGGCTGTTGTTGTGAGTGCTACTGTCCGGTACCGCCAACGTCGTGCTGCAGGCCGTCTCGTTGTTCCACGTCGCTATCGAGTCGTACTCGGCGTTCGGTCTCTGCAGATTTGCTTTGATGTGATCCTCCTCACTGCTAGCGCAGCACATGATCGAACCCATGCTGCTGATGGCACTGCCTCGCTGCTGCTGCTGCTGCTGCTGCTGCTGCTCTCGCTGCAACACACGATTTTAGTCGCAGTTTTAGTTTCCTATGTCCGTCTCAGCGAAAGATGATGCACCGATTCTAAACTAGCTAGCGATGCCACTCGATTAGTGTGGTGTCACCCTGACTCGTCATGGTCAAGTTATGTCTCTGAAGCGCTAGCAGTTCCATAATTTTCCTCCACTCGCTATTACCGAACCGTAAGTCTTGGAATCGTTAGTAGTTTTGCGCTTCTTGACGTATGATTCATTCACCACGCTCTGGCCGGAGCATGTTCTCAAAAACCTTGGTTCGGGAAATGCTACGAGTGAGTATATTGAAACTACCGGTTAGATTCCCATGCACGAGAGCAAGAAATTAACCGCATAGATAGTAGCAAGAGTAGATAATAACACATTGTTAATACATAACACAATGTTATTATCTACTCTTGATAGTAGTGCTCGTCTGCGTCCTTCGTGAATTATCAGACGGGAGCAGAGGCGAGCGCCGCGGTGTATCGCTAATGATAGAATGTGAGTGAGGGTGATTTTGACGCGTCTGTTTGAAGAGAGAGGGATAGAGGGGGGATGCGCATGGGTGAACACGCGCCAGTAGTGCGGGCGGCAATAAGGAGAGATTAGCACCTCGCTGACACTCCCAGGAATGATCTCGCTACTGGTAGGTGAAACTCCCCCACGCGAATAACGTCGTGAGTGGCGAGTCCATGACGATCCAACAGGTGAATGGCGTTGTAGGTAACATTTCAATAATGCTAAATAATAATTAACGTTGTAATCATCATGAACAGCAACAGGTAAATATGACGATGCGCGCCAGTCATATATATCGCCGTCATGATCAGCCCAGGTGAATAACGTCGTAAACGACAAGAGCATAATGTTGTTAGCGGCAGGTGAACGACTTTGTTAATTAAGAGTGAATAATTGTGCAAGCAACAGGTAAATAACGTCGTAGGTGAGTGGTGAATAACGCCGCAAGCGACATGTTAACGCGGTTGTAAACAACGGGTGAGTGAGATCGTCCGTGGCAGGTGAACACCGTCGTAAGCGTCACGTGCGAATTACACAGGGCTAAGACGCACATCGTGTCTCCTGATGTTCGCTGGCAGTGTTCGCTGAAACCACATCAAGAAACGTGATCGCCACATGATAGCCCCTGCAGCAGCAGCAGCAGCAGCAGCAGCAGCAGCAGCTGTAACTGCAGTAATGGAATATCTTACTCGATGAGCCGGAGCGTCAGCATGAGCGCGCAGCAGTGCACGGAGACACAGGTGCGCCTACCCGATAGCCCTGATTGCATTTCGCAGCGAGAGTAGGTCTTCGCCACCGCCACTGCCACCGCCGCTGCGACTACTGCTGCCACCGTTGCTGCCACCGCTGCTGCCGCCGCTGCGCCTACTGCTGACGCCATTGCCGCCGCTGCCACAGCTGCCGAATTATTGCACTAGGGAGAAATACTCATTTTTGCCGAAATAGCTGAACGATTCCGAATCGAGCTAAACAGTGGGAATTTTTTTATTTTTTTTTATCTTATATACATTTTAACAACTGTTTTCCTTTATGTCAGTTTGACCTTTTGTTAAACTTTGCCCAGATGTCGTCGCTCGACGTCGATCCATAGACTGAGCGTAAACAGAAAAAAATCTTCCTGTATATACCAGCAGTGCAAACAACTACCGCGGATCATAGGGACCGAGTTCAGCGGGAAGCCACCGCCTGTCAGTCGGCTCGCAAACACACACAGTTGAATGAGATCTATAAGTGAAGTCCTCCCCCGCCTCCCACGAGTCGCTCGACCGACTCTCATCTTGCCACCTTAGGCCAACGGGCAAACGCCGTGACACGCAGAGAAATTGAATTTTAGAGTGCGCTTTCGAGCCCGTATCAGGGATTCGGGATCAATGCCTTTTCTCTTTCGGCACGCATGCACATGGTTACGTGCGCGCATGATAAAGCCGAAGGAAGGCACTGCAGTGCCACTGAACGACTGTAACGCCCAGCGACACTGGAAACAATTATTTGTGACTATTGGAGATCGAAGAGCGACGGTACCGACTATAAACTATTTAGAACCGTTTCAAATTTCCAGCGGAATATATAGTCGAGCGAAAATCCATAAGCTGTCAATCACAACTGTAGATACTGCCGCAGTCGAAGCATCCTGCATTTAATTGAAAAGAAAAACGTTGCACGGGCAAGATAAGACGAGCTTGACCCAACTTGATTCCATTTAGTGGCAAACGACGCTGCAGTGTGGCCGGCTCGTTTGCTGCGATTTCGTCGCCGAACATTACGGACGGTTACTGGCGCTGCAGTTTGTCTGTGTCGGCCTCAACGCTGGCCGAATCTAACGTTTCATGACGTCACCGATAGCACGATTAGCGAATAACGGGTGGCAGGAACTACGGTGACGACAGGAAAGAGCAAAGTCCTGCGCTGCTGTTTTTTTTCTTCCGTTGTAGCCACGCGCTTCGTCTGTCTTGCAAATTCCGCGGATTTTTGGCCTGTCAACTGTCTCAACCCGCGCGATATCGCAAATCGCTCGATGTCGCAAATCGCTCGATGTCGCAAATCGCGCGATGTCGCAAATCGCTCGATGTCGCAAATCGCTCGATGTCGCAAATCGCTCGATGTCGCAAATCGCTCGATGTCGCAAATCGCTCGATGTCGGAAATCGCTCGATGTCGCAAATCGCTCGATGTCGCAAATCTCTCGATGTCACAAATCGCGCGATGTCGCTAATCACATGATATCGCCGATTTAAATCGGATTGTTAACAAGTCGGTTTACGTCACTGAATAGCGAAAGATCGCTCCGCGTACGCGAAAGATAGTTCGCAGGCTCATCATCTCGCGCAAACTGCATGCAGCGCCCCCTTCCCACACTCAGGATATACCAGAGCGAGAGCGCCATCTGTCGTGGAGTTTGCATCTCGCGTTCAGTGGCGCCGCAAGAAGCAGCAATCGCTGTGTTCGGGCGCCGTGTAATACATAAGGGTAAATAAAGGCATGGGATTCGAACTACCGACGATGTAATTTCCTAGAATCGATGAGCGACCCGTTTTCACCGAGTGACTCCCCACGCCGCGCGCGAGAGACCACGGCGAAACACGAACAATAAATTACACAGAATAATATGACAGGGAAAGAACTCACCGATGGATCACTATTTACGCATTACTCGCTTTACTTACGCGCCCCCACTTATGACGCATCAAGTAAGTTTGCATGAAAGCGCCGTTGTCCTGCCGTCGATGGAGTTAGAGACGAGTCGAATTCCCGACGATAAACAACGTCGCAGAAATGCGACGTGTGATGAAAGAGAGCGCGACAGCCTGTCATGTCGTCATGCTCGACTATTCCACTAAGCACGAAAGCTGTCAAGTAAGTGGGATATATATATACATATATACATATGCATATATGCGTATTTATATATTTCAGTACATATTGTCATGCAGGCTCGTCTAAAATAAAATAGATAGTCGATGATTTACACTGAGTAGCATCGTCAACGTTACAGCGAGTGTATTACATGTTTAAATAATTTACGATAGCCACCTCTCTTCGGGGTGATACTCCATTAAGAGTGTTCCCAACTTTAATGTCAATAATGGTCATAATAACATATATATATATCGTGTGAGATAGATACGAAGAGAGAATGTCATTTAGTTTAGGGTTAGGTTAGGTTCGGGTTAGGGTTAGGGTTACGGGATTAGTCAGACTCATTATCATTAATCATTAATCCATTGATGATATCAAGTTTGGAACACCTCCTAAGAGGCGTTAGCCT